ATTTCTTCCACAGACATTCCCATTTTGCTAAAGACAAAGAGGGGCCAAGGAGAAGCCCTGTGGTGCTCAGCCCACCGTGGGATGCCCGGGGTGCTCAGCTGCCAAAAAAAGCTGCTGCTGGCTGGCCGGAGAGGTGTTCCACCGGTCGGGAGGGTCTCCCTGTTTCTCCCACCAAAGCCAGGAAAATAAAAAGGTTGAATAAACGCAACTTGCATCCCGTGGCCTCCCCAAGTCCAGCTGCTGCAGCCGGGCTCGGTGCCGCTGCCTTCCACAGCTTTGGTCATGTCAGCTACTTATTAAAAATAGTTTTTTTTCTTCTTGGAAAGGACAAAAAAAAAATAAACCCACCAAAACAAGAAACCTTTCTTTTAAGATGATGCAGACTTGTGTTTTCACAAACCCAAACGCAACCAAAAATACCTGCTTTAAACCCCGATGCCGATTCCCGGCTAAATCACTACGTTCAGCTCTAGAGGCCACCCCCAACGCACAAAAAATGCCATGTGGGTGGATAAGAAAAACGCATACATTGACGTGGGCATTTTTTATCCTTGCCTAACCCACCGGGCAAGCTGACCCTTACAACTTCATCACACAAATAGCCCCAAAGTGGATGCAGGAACAGCTCCAGGGATGGCAGAGCCCGCAGTCGACCTTCCCGGCTGCTTCTCCTGCCTGCCCGACAGCAGGACCACCCCCCTCGGATGCCCTCACAGCCACGTGCGGCAAAACCCAAACTGCTGATAAAAATGTCTTAAAATCCTCAAAGCGAGCATCTTTTGGCCACGCTATCTCTGGCCATCCAAAACCTCACCCCGTGAAGCACTGCCCACCACCAAGCCCCTCCAAGGCAAGCGAGGTGGCTCCACTCGCCCACGGACGAACAGCATTTGATGGGGACAGCCCAGTGCCATCAGTGTCCCTCAAAACCTGCCCGTCCTCGCAGACATTTGCTGCCAGATGCCGGGCACATCCCTGCACGGGGTCAACACGAGCGGGTCCCTCTCTGCGGCCAGGCGGGAGGTTTCCCCAGCAAAGGGCTGAGTTTCCCTACCCATCCCCATCCCCGCGATGCCCGGGAGGGACGGACCCGTGGGAAGCCCAGGCAGCAGCCAGTCCTGGCACCGGCTCCCCTGCCTTTGGGGAGCAGCCAGTCAGCGGGAGGTGAATTTCGGGCATTGCTGGCAGGGACGTGCGTGCGACCGCAGCCGGTCCCTGGGAAGGCACGCAAAGGGGACACACGTGCGAGAGGAACGCCGCTGGCTACCCCTCCAGCACAGGGCCCACCCCTTCCCACTCAAAGAAAAGCCAGATCAACCCAGTTTTTCCTCTCTGTGCATGGAATAAGAGAGGACAAGCGTTTGCTGTCCCCTTTTTTGGGGGGGTGAAGGTGAGCAGCCCCCTCCCTGGCTGTGCCGTGCTGCCGCTTGCCCCAGCGCTGCTCGCACAAGGATGTGCACGACTCTGTCCATCCTCAAACTGCAAGAAGCAGAATCACAGAGCCCGTTTCATCCCACCCTTGCGATGTCTCAGCCATCCTGCTCATGGGCTGGGCTCACCACAGAGCCACGGGGCATCCCTTGCTTTCCTGGAGGAGAAAAAAAAAACCCTCCCGGTCCCCAACCCCACCAGTTGTCCCCATGCAAACACCACCTCAGATGGCCCCGAGGATGCGATTCAGCCCTGCCGTGGAGCCTGCACCCAAAAAATCCCTGCTGCCGGACACAGGAGAGCTGACAGCAGTGCCCTACCCTGTGCCACCACGCAGAGGAGCCAGCAAACACATCATTACTACAATTTTAAACCAAAATGACAGCTGTCACCCAGCCCTTTTTGCAGCTCTGGGCTGCAGCCAAACCCATACTTGCTGTCTTTCACCCCAGCGATGGGGCTGCGCACCAACATTTTGGTACCCGTGACCTTGACAGGCATCGTCCCCATCACGGCATCCCCAAACCCTCACGCAGGTAATGAGAGGGATGCAAAAACTAAGGGGCACGTCACAGCCGAGATATCCACTGTGAAGTGGGGGTCGGTGGGGCGGAGGAGGCAGGGTCAGGAAAGAGGCTCGTTCCCAGGGGAGAAGCCTGGGGAAGCTCCACGTTTCAGAGCTGATCTCATACAGAAGTAGAAAAAGCTTACACAGGGTGGAAATGAAAACATAAATTCCACTAAATCCAGGAGCTGTTCAGCTCCCAGCTTTTGCAGTGGTGGAAAGAGTCTGCAAATCAAGTGCAGTTTTGCTCTAAGCAGTAAAAAATGATTTAGTTTCTTTACTGGTTCTTGAATTTGGGATTGCAATGCCCAGCAACAACACCGCTGACCCAAGGCGGCTGAAAGGCATGCACCCACGGGCGCCGAGCCCTTGGAGCCCATCCCCTGCGGAGCCACAACTTCACGCTGCACAACTGCACAGCTACGCACCAGCCCGCAGCTTCCTCCGTCAGCATCGGTACCCACGCCGTACACCTCGTCATACACGCGCGAACAAATAAGAAGAGCCCAGATGGGATTTTAAACAAATAATGCATTGTTTACTTGCTTGCTGGTAGGAGAAAAAAAAAAATAAATAAAAGGCATACTGAGTAAAAGAGGTTTTTCCCATGATCTACCAGCCCATGATAACTCCTTTTGCCCGCTGCTCACCCGCATCTCTGCTGCAGGGGACCGGGTGCCAGAGACCACCGAGAGCACCCAGAGCCAGTGGTCCAGGCGAGCATCTCCTTCCCAGCACCCCCAGAAAATCAGAACAACCCTTGCTCACGTTGCAGCAGATGATGGCCATAATATAGCAAAGCCCCAGGCCCAGCTCGTTGGGGTCGTTAGCCAGCTTTTCCATTCCACTGCTGGGTCACCTCGGGGCAGGGGTGGCCCTTGGGGTGCATGGAAATAGGGGGATGGGAACACCCCTCAGCCTCTGCTTTCCCCTTCACCTCAGCATGCTGCGGCTCCCCGTGCAAACAGCCTACCCATTGCTCCCCGATCGCTCCAGTCCGACCAGTCCCACCCCGAATCGCAGCACCCGACTCCCCTGGGAGAGAAAAACAGCACCGTGGAGTTCGATGGTTTTAATGGTAATTAAAGAAATCAACAGGGTACACTTCAGCTTTGAAATACAAGTGCAAAAAAAAGGATACGAGATAATGTTTTCTGTACATTTCTTACAAAATATTACATACATCCCACCCCGAAGTGGTACATCACGCACCGCGGAGCCCAGGCACCGCGCGTGCACACCAGCCGTAGCTTTTCCTTCTTATGTGCAGGACGTGGAGCTAACGGAGGGCTCCCGTTGGAGTTCAGGCAGATGCTTTTAGGGCAGTGGTAGGTAAATACAAGGGGGGAAGGCAGGCACCTTTCCACCCAGCATGCCCAGGCGCAGCTCCCGGAGCGCCGAGCAGTTCCTGTGCCCTTGCAGCAAGCGGGCAGCATCACCTTGCTGGCACTCGCAGCTCTCGGCTGCTCTCCGGTTTGGTGTAGGAAATGGCTTTTCTCGCCGCGGTTTGGCGTTTTCCCCCTGGCTGGCATCACCTCCCACTTGGTGCCCTGTGTAATGTGCCCAGGTTAAGCCCCGGCGAACCCACCTCCATTTTATCCACAGCATCTTCTCAGGAAGAAGTCAACCAGGCTATATAGCAAATAAATTAAACCCCTCCTCCACCCCCATACCTCCCAGTGCCGACGAGGCAGTGGGGCACGCGTCAGTACCCATCCTGGCAGTCGTTGTCATCGTAGTCGGCGGCAGGCTTGTTG